GGAGGGAAGACGAGAGCAGTGGCATCTGGTGGCCTGAGGAGGACACCGGCTGGCCTAGCATGCCACCCGACCAGAAGCCAGGTGACAAGGAGGGCGGGGGGAGCAGACGCCATGCCACAGGCAGGGACCCAGCTGGAACCCCACGTGTGGGAGCCAGGGGACAGACTGAACCAGGGACAGAAGCGCGTTCACGACATCCACTGAAGACACGCGAGTCTGCGGGACCCGATCGTTCAGGGCAGATGATGTGGCGAAATGAGGCCGGCCTCAGGTCCACGTCTGTCCATGTGGGGCAAGGAGCCGAGGTCCAGGACGGCTACTGTGCCGTGAGCTGTGTCCCTTGAAGACACAGTCAGCCCCCTGAAGGACGTGGGTGTGGTTTTAGCCGAAGAGGGAGGCGTGGCGGGCACTCACTGGCCACCTCTGCCCGCAACTCCCTTGCAGATGAACAATATTCCTTCCATTTGGTCTGCATGACGATTTTGAAAATCCGGGTAAATGTTTAGAAACTGGCAGATTGCATATGACGGTCTGGATTCTCGGCCGTTCTGGAAAACGGCAGAGGATGAGCATCGCAGGGCCTGCATTCCCACGCAGAAGGCTCCGGAGCCGGATGGGCGGACGCGCCGGGTCCGTGGGGTGGCGTCTGTCCACTCTCTAAGTGGCCGGGCTGACTCCCAAATCCACAGCCTGCTTGGCAAGTCCCATGTGCACTGCTGATGTATTTACATGAGAAAGTCAGGGGCGAGCATCAAGGCGCCCCTACAACAGGGGACTCTAAACGACGGTCCTCCCACTGAGAACGCAGCTCGGCAGCCGACTGAAAACGAAGTTTGGGACCGACGAGTGTTTCAGCGCAGGTGAGTTACAAAAGGAGACACGTCACAGACTGAACCCCTCTCCCCCTACAAATGCGAACGTGCAAAACAACGGTGATACTTAACTAAGGTGTGGAATACGGGGGGAAAAACGTGTTTCTGAATATGTTTTTCTGATTATAAAAGTGAAAGACGAGCCTTGCAGAAAACAAGGTTGATAAAAGGGTAAAGAAGCAAAAAAAAAAATAAAAGCAAGTGTCGGTTTAAAGCCCGTGGACTGTTTACACCTCTCGGACACCTGCTATTCGCCCTTGTCACCCCAAGCGCAGGTACAGAGCCACGTGCCGGTGACGCAGCCAGCCGGACTTCAGTGGGCTTTGCATGTTTAAACCGTAATGTTTACACCCACCTCCAATTCCTGCGACAGACACGAGCGTTTTCCGTTTACTTACAGACATGGAAGTTATTACAGAAAACTTTGCCATTTGCAGAAATATTCGATTAAACGCTTCCTCCCTCCGAGGAGCTTCGTTTTTTTTTTCTTTTTCTGCCCAGTGGTGTGAACCCTCAGGTGTCGGAACCCAGCAAAGGTTTTCCTGGAATAAGGTACGCGAAGCATGTTGTAAACCGCCGGGCACTGTGAAACTCACGGCATTTTCTGCACGCGGTCAAGTACCATGAAAAATACAGCATTCGGCTGTGTTTAAATTCTGTTTTTTAAGATAACCACGCTTGCTTCCTGGAAGAGACTATAATAGCAATGTTTTCACGATAGAGCCCAAAAGGAAATCTCGGAAACGCACAGTGAGCCGACGTGGGTAAAGGTGTTTTGTAAATAACAGCCCAGGGGAGTGTGCCAGGCCGGGGAGTCGTGCGGGTGGCAGAGCGGGGAGCCAGGGTCAGTCACAGCCATGGATGTCACCCGCCCGCGTGTAGGTTCCCTGTTATCGTAAAAGAATGCCCACGGTTTAAAGAAACCCCCAAGCTCGGGCATCCCTCTCAGAGGAGCGAACTCGAGAGAGAAGGGAGCAGAGGATGCTTAGGGCAGAAGCACGTCTTAGACGAAGGTGCCACGCGGGGCTGTAGAGGGGCCTGGTGTCAACAGTGTCCACCTTCTGGGCTGCGGTCACCCCATGGCTTTGGGAAACTCCTGCCCGATGGAGCCCCAGCTGCTCCGACGAGCCCAGATCCCCAGCTTTGAAGGAGAGAGGCCTGAGGAACGCACGTCGACAGAGCCACCAACACGTCCGTGTCGGGCGTGCCGTGTGTCCCTCCGTTCCCTCCCCCGTGGTCACAGAGCCACTGGCTGCGTTTACTGGCCCCGGAGCACTGATGCAGGGGGGTCGGACGGCGTGTCAACTGCTCCGTCTGGCCTCACGCCCTGTAAGTATGAAATATGACCTGTGGGTCGCCGGCTGGTTCTGCGTGATCACTGACAGGCTCAGGCTGCTCACATCGTAAACTGCGGCACGCCGTCGTGTGTGTGCGGACCAGCCGCTGAACCCGAGGGTTTACAGCCACCGGCCCGCGGGTCTCTCAGGGGGCCTGGGCTCCAGGGCACAGCGCTGAGGATACAGCTGTCTTCCCTGACAGCCTGCTAATCGCCTCCCCGCCCGGTTGGACGTACAGGAGGCCAGTTCACCAGACCAGGGAGCAGGGGGCCCCTCTGCTCCTGAGAACCTCGGGCGGGTCGGTTAGAAGCGAACCCTAAGACGAGGATTCCTTTGCAGGTGACTGAGGAAGGAGCTTTGCCAGGAGACGCTGGGAAGGGAGAGGGGGAGAGGACCCGTCCCAGCCTGTTCTCACCCCCGGGAGCTCTGGGGTGGCAACTGCAACTCAGAGTCATCTGCCCCGGTGCGGGGAGGGACGTGGGCTTTCAAGCTTCACACCCATCATCCTTTGCAGAGACCGCCCCAGGAAGATGAAACTGCCAGAATATTCCAGAAATCTTCACGAGGGGGCAGAGGGGCCAGGAGCCCCGATGGATGCTGGCGCGGGCTCACAGCACAGCCCGCCGCATGGGCTGATTGCGGCCCCCGCTCAGAATTCGCAAGGCAAAGCCCAACCCCCCAGTGTGACCGTGCTGGGAGAGAGGCTTTTAGGGGATCATTTGGGTTGAATGACGTCATCACAGGGCTGTCCTACTTGGACAGGACTGGCGTCCTCGTAAGAACAGGGAGAGACACCAGAGCTCTCTCTCCCTCCTCGCCAGCCCCCGAGTGCGCAGAGAGGTAACGCCTCGTGAGGACAGGGCGAGGAGGCCACGGAGCGGGGTGTTCCCGGAGCCCGGCCCGGCCCGGCCAGCACCTCGGTCTTGGGCTTCTGGCCCCCAGAACTAGGAGAGACTAGATTCCTGCCGTTTAAGGCCCCCGTCTGCGACATGCCGTTGGAGCCGCCGAGCAGACCCTGACCCCACCTCCCCGCACAGACACCCGCCCTGCCATCGGCTCTTCCGCAAAGGTAGACGTCACCTCCTACGACGCCGCATTAAGAAAGCCGAGAGCGTGTGGCATGCCAGCCCCACACCGTGACTCTAACGCACGGAAGCAGAAGGCTCTGCGGTCGGACAGACGGACACACCAGGCTGAAGCCACCGCACCCTCTGAGAAGTGGCCGTGGGAACCCGGGCACGGAGTTCACGCGCTCGGAAAACGCGGCGGCCCCGAGCCGCGTGCTGCGGGGCCCGGAGCAGGCACGGCTGCCGTCGAGACTGGTCAGAAGTTACCAGCCAGGCTGACCCGCCCCCTCGGGGACACCGTCCGGCTGCGACACGAGGGACTATGCACATCCACAGATTCACTGTCTGTTAACGACCACGTTCGCGTCTGTTTGCACGATCGACACTAATCCGGTGGGTTAATTAGACTTGATGTGCGTCGGACGCGGGGGGTTTAACTTGGACCCGGCATGCATTTCTTTCTGGACATTCTTCCTCCACAAGCGGAAACGTTTGCACAGCCACCCCAACCCCCACCCCCGGAGGTACCAACCGGTGCTTCTGGGACAAGGCCGGTGAAGGCTGGCGTCCGGAGCGGGGAGCCGTGCAGGCCCCCCAGATGCTTTCGCTCGTGAAAGGCTGAGGGGCGAGTCGCAGGGAAAGGAACTGGGCGACTCTCAGCGAAACGGACCCCGTGCGGAACAGCGCTTGGTAACTGGCCGTGTTCACTGACGATGACGTGTCCCATAATGGACGCTTCTTCCGTTAGTGCGAATCCCTCCGAGAAAACGCACTGACCGAATGTATCGAGAGCCCTAAAACACGATGAAACTTTTTGATTCTCAGAAGCCACCTTGAGCACACAGAGAAGCGGACAAAGATTTACGTGGCAGGTGGCCTGCTGCCGTGCTGTCTCCGACAACAAAACTTGGGAACAACCTAAGTGTCCGAAATGCCGACGTGGTTAAATCTGTTTATGAAATGTTACGCAGCTAAGCGTTTTGGGGAACTATTTAGTGTCAAGAGAAGATGTTTTCGACGTAACTGAATTATAAGTGAAAGCGTCTTAAAGATCTGTATGCAGATTATAAGACCAAATGTGCAAACTAAATAAATAAACCTACTTTACATTTCCTGTATACAGACGTCACAGAAGCATCGAACGCGGGAAGGACAGAAATCTCGTGTTAGCGGTGCTGGCCCTCGGGCGCCAGGGGTATTTGTATATTAATTTTTTCTTTTGCATCATATAACTGTGTTTTCCTAATATTCTAAAACAAACGCGTGTTGTTTTATGGGCAGAAAGCAATATTTTAAATAATCATCCAGATGTCTGCATGGAATCTCACGCGGCATGTCCTTATTCATTACTGCCACCGATTGTCACCTGCTGCCTTTAAATCCCTCCCTGCTGACGACAAAGCCCGATCCGTCTGTGAGGGACACACACTGTGAGAAGCCCGAGGCGGGGCACTGGAGGTGACATGGCCCCGGGACATAGTGTCGGGGAGGAGAATGCATAAGCCCAGCAAAGCAGAGTAGGATGTCGCTAACTCACCTGTGCTCCGAAGCAGGGACCACAGACTCCAGGGTGGGCGCCCTGCCCTCCCGGCCCCAGATGCCAGGCGTTGCTGCCGAGGGCTTAACAGCCGGGCTGGGCCGCGGTGAACGAGAGTCGAAGTCGGGCCTCTCAGGCAGAGGCTGGTCACGGGGATCCCGCCTCTGCACAGGGCGGTGGCACTTACCTGTTGCGTGCGCTGGGCCCCAGGCGCTGGCACACCACGGTGGCGGTGGCATGCTTCCCGCTGTCTCCCAGCTCCTGCTTCACGTCCCACTGCCGCGGCTGGCTGGTCCGGGGGCTCAAGACGTTCACCCCCTTCTTCACCTTGGCTCTGCGGGAGGGAGGTGGCAAGAGGGGCCGCAGTGTGAGTGACCTGACCTTTCCACCCGCGCCCGCCACGCCGCGACCAGACAGAGCGAAGCAGACGGCGGCAATGCCGGGGCCCCGTGGGCGGGCGAGGTAGGGCACCTGCTCACAGACGCGAGCACGTGGACCCGCTGTCCAGCTCCGAGGGCGAGGGGACGTCCTGAGAGTCCCCAGCCCAGGGCATGGCGCGGCCACAAGGTCCGGAGAAAAGGCAGCCTGGCCAGCCCGCTCGGTCGCAGTCGGGGTGACCGTATCCTGCGGGGGACATGAGGCGCTGTCTCGAGACGTTTCTGGTTGTCTCAGCTGGGGAGTGGGCACTGTCGCCTGGTGGGTAGAGGCCAGAGACGCAGCTAAACGCTCCGCAGAACCCGGAGCAGCCCCCGCCACATGGACTTATCCATCGTCTCAGCTGGGGAGTGGGCGCTGTCGCCTGGTGGGTAGAGGCCAGGGACGCAGAACCCGGAGCAGCCCCCGCCACACGGACTTATCCAGCCTCGAGGGTCACAAGCCTGGCCTGGGCTCATGCCCTGGCCTCCTCGCTTTGTTGCTGTGTGACTTCAGGTGAATGACAACCTCTGCGCCCCACTTTTTCCCTCTGAAAACAGACAGGATAATAGTAACCCCATTATAAAGCTACTGTGACGGTGAAACACATCGATCCACGTAGAGACCCAGTGTCGGGTATGCAGCAAGCACTTAATAACTGTTAGCTATTGTTCTATTGCTCCAGGGAGGTCCCCCGGTCTGCTTATGTGACATTTGGGGCTTCCTGCCGGCACACACTCAGCCGGAGGGCGCTATGTCCGGGCCTCAGAAAATATAGTAAAAAACGCACCAGGCTCGTTTTCGGGCTGTCGTTTGGGCCACATCTCCCGGCCTCTCTAAGCCTCTGTTTCATCAAAATAAACTGATGACAATAGCAGCAGATCGAGCACTGATGTCACCGTGTCCTCTCCTCCCCAGTCCCACTTAAACCTGGGGCGATGTGAGCGCACCTCTTGGAAAGCAGACAAGTGAGTAAAGCGCTCACTGCGGACCCAAAAGCCAGCCGCCAGCCGCCAGTGGGAAAAGCTTGGAGCCAGCAGAGTTCACGCCGCAGAATCCGCCTGTCACAGGAAGAGGCGGGAACGCTCAAGACTGGGGGCGGGCGACAACCGAAAGAAGGAGGGTCCGTGACAAGTCTGTGTGGGGAGTGGCCAGGCGGCAGAGCCCAGAACTCCACGTGGGACCTGGGGGGACCGTGGAGGGTTGACCCTGGGGTGAGCACACTGAGAACAGAGTGACCGCGACCCTGTGCACGCCAAATGTTGAGACTGCAGGACTTCGTCCCCAAGGCTGGACCTTCACCCCAGCAGGAAAAATATCGGGTTCTGGAGAATTTGGTACCCACACCCGGGCCTCCCTACACAGCCAGCCGGATTACCATTGAGTTAAACTCGCGGTTGGCGAGTCCCACCGAACGGACTCAGAGCTTCTAAGGGCTTCTTAGTCCCTCGTCCTTGTACGCGAGTAAACGAGAATTGTGGGACTCTGAGAAAAAGTCTCTACGTGACACAGAGACCGAAACGGGCAAACAGGAAACAAAGTCTGCGGGAAACAGAGCCCGTGAAGGAAAGACCGTAATTAACGATGCGCGCGGTCGTTCACAGTCACAGAGATCAGAGGAGACACTGCCAGCTCGAGACGGAAACAGAAAGGGATGAAAAAAAAACACTCGACGGGAAAAAATAAGCCCCTGGAAACAAAGAAGCTCAAAACAGAGATGGGAACAAACAAGACCGAAGCAGAAATGCAAAGTCACCGAGATGGTCGATGGACACGGCGAGGAAATCTGTCCCGAGAAGCAGGAAGGAAAACACAGACTAGAAGACGGGAGGAAGGGTGAGCCGCGAGGGGCACTTCGAGGCCCAACATCTGCACCTCGGAAAGACGGAACGAAAACAAAAAGCAGACAAGGGAGAATCAGAAACAGCAACGCGGGGATTCGCGAAGTCTCCCCGGATGAGCGCCGGTCTACACCACAGGACGGCCACACCAAGGACGCTGGGGACGCAGAGCGAACGCTGCAGAGACCAAGGATCGGGGGTCACGGCAGCCACTCGGAGAGCCGGAGGACGATGAGAAACATCTTCCGAAATCGAGGGGTCCACGATTACCAGCCCGGGGTTCTATATCCCGCCTAATCATAAAGAAAATACTTCCAGATACGCAGGTGCTCCAAAAATTCACGCTCTACACCCTGCTCAGAGACCGACTTGAAGACGTGCTCCATCAAAGCAGGACGAGTCTCGCGGTACAGGAAGCACAAAGTCAGTGCAGAACAAGGGCGCGCGGGGGGCCCGCTCGGAGAGCTGGCTGGCGGAGAAACGGGACCAGCACGGAGAACTTTCTAGCACGATGCCTTCAGAACACCAAACTCTTCCTGATACATTTGATGTGAATGAATGTTTTGGGAGGAGATTTAGATAATCGGCGAAGAGTTTGGGAGTAAATCAGAGCTAAATACACAGACAATGGAAAGAAAAAAAAGAATAAACCCAAATTAGTTTTTAATTCTGACAATAAGAAATGATTATGCAGAAGAGGAAGAGTAAACATAACTGGATACACAGTGGTACTGTGATCAGCGCACGCACGTACAGCCAGAGAGTATGGAGAATATTAATTTTAAACATTGAATATTAATGTAGACGAAATATGATTATTACACCGGAAGGGCGGAGACATGGAAAGGATGGTATTTGTGCAGGAGAGAAAAGATATATATGTATCTCACACACACACACACACACACACACACACACACACACAGCCTTATCCTTCATACTGGGAAATTTATAGATATTGCCTAAAACTCAAGTGAAGGAAGACGTATCGGCCTCACTGTGTCCTTCGGCGATGTGGCTGTATGTAGCAGGTAAGAATTTGGCTTCTGTGCAGGGAGGAAGGCAGAGGGAGAGGAAGGAGTATCGCATCATCTTCCAGAAGTAACTCCTAATTTTGAAATAGTTTGAGAGTTTGAGGTTAACAAGAAGTTGCGAAAAAAAGGTCGCGTTCTCGTGTGCGCTTCCCCCAGCATCCCTGACCCATCGATCTTACATGACGAGAGGACGAAGCCACGCCCAGGACGCTGACATCGCTAGAATGCCAGGCCCCGAGGCACAGGCTTCATCCACCTGTTTCCACATGTGCGTTGTTTTGGTGTATAGTTCCGTGAAATCACGTCACACGTGTCGATTCGGGTAACCGTCACCACGATCAGACTACGGGACCCTTCCGTCGCAGCAAAGACACCCCCTCTCGTTGCCCCGTGATAGTCACCTCTCCCCCGACTCTCGGCCCCGATCAACTCTGATCTGTTCCCTCTCATTGTAGTTTGGTCACTTCGACAATGGGATACATGGCTTTTATCAATGAACTCTGCAGAGTGATTTGGCTCCTTAAAGGACGTGCAAAGCGATGTCTTAGGAAGGTAGCAGCTTACAGCATCCCACACACGCGCACCCTGCCCTGCTAACCCCCCAGGCTGGAGGAGATAAATCCTGGCGAATGGCTAACAGGCCAGACATGGCGGAGCGAGTGAGCGTACAGGTGGTCACTCTGAGGGAGCCGAGGCGGTGGCAGCCGCAGATAAGCCACATCCCCTTTTCAGACGCAGGGTGTCCCAGTCAGCCTCAGCAGGCACCTGTTCTTTATACGCTGTCTGATACTAAGAGGATTTGCTAAATATCCTGGCACCTTGGCCACAGGGAGACCCGGGGAGCTGGAGGGACAGAGATGAGAGGCACAGCAGCATGCGAAAGCGCCTGGCCTTGGTCCTACGGCAGAACGCTCCCGCGGTCCGCCACCTTCTGTCCTTACCGCCCCGAAGAAAGACCTCCGACGTCCGACTGCTCGAAGCCGGGTTTAGCCGCGTTGGGACTCTGCCCAGAGTTCAGCGTCCCTGAAGCTCTGGGCTGTTCTTCCCGCTGAACAGTTCACACAGTGAGGCGGGTCCTTGACCTTGGGTCCCAGAACCAGAAGTTTTGCAGCAAGACTCGGGTTAAAACACGGCGGCATTATAGGGCAGAGCTCGAGGACGCTGGCTTCTAGGGGAGGTGTGACAGGCCACCCTGTCACATCGAATAGTCTACTTGGTGTGGGGCGGGGGCACGGAGGGTGGACCGCACACGGGGAGCACCTTCCAGTCCTGCCTCTGCGGCCGAAGGGCACCGTGACCTTGGAGCAGGCACTCATTTGCCCTCTGCTCGTTTTCGTCAGCCGTCACGAGTGGGTGGCCTTGGTTCGGTGGCCCCCACGCGTGGGACTCCTGCTCCGTGGTCTCAGAGCCAGAGTTTGCAACACGGATGCCGTCGCTTCCCGAAGCGGTCACTCCTGGACGCTGACTGTCCCCGCGGGCACTGCGCTGGATGCTGGGGCGTGTGCGCGGCGGACTCTGGTGTGGCCCGCCCTGGTGGCCCCGTCCCGTGTGGGTGTGCCCGAGCGGGCTTATGCCGCCCACACGACGTGCACATATCGAAGGTACTTCTGTGCAGTTTTTCAGTGGTTAAAACTCAAAAGTATTCCCCGCCCTTTTCAGAATGTGTTTGACTCAGGTGTGACACGGGAATGACTCAGCGTTCCTCAAAGAAAATCGATGTTCGGGACAAACTCTGAACACAGGAACCCTGATTTCCAAGCCAACTGTCTCGAGGCCAGTTACGATCTCTACATGAAAAGCTCTCTCGGAAGCTTCTCGAAGCCATCGAGCTTCTGGGATCCACTGGGGTGGCTGCTGCCGGGATGCGTGAGCACCTGGGTGTCCTGGGGCGAGGCTGTCGGAGGGGGCCGGGTACCCCCTGGTCTCTGGCCCTGCGGGGCTGGGTCTGCTCAGGGGCTGAATCTGATCCTCAGAGTATGTACCAAGGGAAAAACATCTGTATCATCAGTCCTGGTGGTGGATGATTCTGTGCTTCTCCCCAAATT